ACATGTAAATGTTTTTATTTTATGCCATTGGGATTTTCTCCTGTGCCTGACATAAAGTGACTAAGGGAGAGGGTTGAGGCTTGGGATTTATTTCTATTTTTTGTTGTTGTTTGGCTTACTTTCTCTGTAGAAGAAACAGGTTTGATTTTTGTTCCATTTACAAAATCTTTCAAGAAGGTGAACCAGTCAGCTATTACAGAGATGCAGTCTTATGTGAAACCTAGCAAAGGCAAGCAGCAATGTCACCTAAAAGTTGAGTTTCTTTGGTTTAACTAAAAGTTAGAGCAGATGCCATTTTTTAATGCCTTTAATCAAGAATCTTCAAAAAGGATTGTCTTACAGCTGACCTTTCAGCATCATCTTAAACATAATTCTTGTAATATTGCCAAAAAACTAATTATCCTTTTAACAATTACAAAAGTCTATTTTAACCACTCTCTCACGATTCTAGAGAGGGTGAAGGCATATTGTTCAAAGTTTCCATAAAGATTACTTCTCTAGCTGAGACCAGCATGGATGAGATCAGCCCAAAGAGTTTAGGAAAAAAAAAGAAAAAAAAAAGAAAAAAAATCAGTGTGTGGAAAGAAGGACTTTAGGGCAGAAAGTGTTCTGTGACCTTGAGGGAGAAATGAATCTGGCGTAAGTCTGAAGTAATGTCACTCAGACCGTTTCCATCAGTCCCAGCTGCATTAAACCCGGAGACTGTCCGCTGGAAAGAAGCAGGACAGGGTCCAGCCAGCACCTGGGACAAGTGCCTGGGATGAGCCTCGGATGGACAGGGATGATGCCTGGCACAGGGACACTGGCCACTGCCCTGATGGCTGTAGAAGTGTCATCAGCAAACAGACAGGGAGCCCTATGAAACTGTTAAAGGATTCATAGACATCAGGGCCAGAGCAGTCCATTAGATCATCTTTTCCTCACTGAGGGCCAAATGTGATTTTCAAATACCTTTTGAGAGCCATGCAGTGACACACCCGCTAGCATTAGCAAGTCTAAGTTTTCGACAAGGCACTGGTACTCAGGAGAAAAGGACCAGGTTCAATTTCAGTGCTTTCTTAGTAAAAACACACTCGACTCATTATCTAATAATCTTGGAAACTCAATTAAATTGTCTGAGATCTAAAGCATGAATGATATTTTCCTTATCCTCTGAGTTAGACAAAAAAGAATTAAGCTTGGGGCACTCTTGACTTCCACTTTTCACCTTGTGCCCCCACTTGCTTAGGAGTCCTTGAGACCTCTTGAGCTGTAGCAGGACTGGAGTAGCATTCCCTTTCCCTGAAAGCAGTGGGTAGAAGGGCTAGCAACAGCAGCCCTGGACAGTGGGATGGGAGGACACCAAGATTGGAGCCACCGTGGTAACACAGAGGCCGGATGCTGCAGCAAGTGCCACTGAGCAGAGGAGGCTGCATACTGGAGCTGTGGCCAGCAGAACTTGTCACAATGAGGCAGGAGAGGTGTGACAAAGCCAAGCTGGCGACGGCACGCAGGGCAAAACCTGAGTCAGCTCCAATCTGAAGGTCAGAGATTTCCCATTGCTGAAAAATGACTGTAACATTTCATCCCCTGGCACTGCGGCAGAGCCTGGGGAGCAGCGCTCCACTGTCACGTACCCAGCAGAGCATCTGCTCTCTATCAGAAGATGCCAAGAGCTGAAGAAGCCACCATTTCTCCTGCTTGTTTTTTCTGGTGGTCGATTTACCTTCACTGATAAAAAGTTTGTAACTCGTTTCTCCATTGAATTTGCCTGGAGTTCAGTTCCAGTCATCATTTCTTGTTATGTTTTTCTCCACCAGATTAAAGAGTTCTGCTCTGCTCAGGAAGGTACTTGCACTTTGTATTCATGTCATCCTTTCATCTTTTTGATCAGGCCACTAGACTGAGCTGTTCAGCTCCAGAGACAGATATCTCGGCGATAGCAGTGATGAACACAAACATCAATCTTGTACTAGACTGACTCAATTTGTAGCTGAATGCAATGGACCAGGTTCTCCTGTTTAGCATCACTGACACAGGAGCACAGGCTTTGGATATCAGTAAGGACTAGGAGGATTAAAGCATTAGAAAGGATTGACCAGGTTCCCCGGTCTCTGTAGTAAATATATTATTTTTCAGTGAAAATGGCTGAACTATAAAACTCTGTAGTTTTTCAGTGTTTGCCAACTTACTGAATCGTACAGGTGTTTTTTTCCTCAGCAGCTGCTGCTTTACTCCCCCTACTTCCTTCTGCAAGCACAATACTTACTGTATCATCCTGGTTTAGATTAAATTACACTGAAGTGGCCAGCCTCTCTCTCAGGATCTATGTAAAAACAATTGTATTTCTTTACTTAAGCTTTGGGATCAGCAGCTAAAACAGCAGCACATCAGCCAAGCAGCAGGGACGGCTGGGGCTCCCGGGGTGCCTCCTACCTTCGCTGCACAGTCAGACTAGGCCCTCCTGCCTTTGCTTTTTGGAGCAGAGACTGTGGAGCCGGAGAGCTTCAGGCAGGGGATCGGCTGCCCTGTCTCACCTTCCGAACCCCAGAGCAACGTTGTTGTGTCCTGGTCGCAGCTGCACACGTAGCTGCTGGCCCACAAGCCCTGCGTTGGCCAAGTGACTGTCCCTCCTCTGGCAGCAGCTTCCTGACTGCTGGCTGCTCCCTTTGCATTACTCCCTTCTTTTCATGGCTGAAAATGAAAATCGCAACATTAGTTAGATCATTTATTTTGCAATTTTTCTTTAAGAAGGGAGAAAGTCTTTTTTAAGGTAGTGTTGTACAAAGATGGTAAATATCCACATATAGCAGCAACTTAAAAATATACAAGCTAAACCCCCTCCTGTCTCTCACTTTTTTTTTTTTTTTTTTTTTGTATGTGTGTGACTGGAAAAAATGTTAAAAACAAATCCCCTAATTTGCTTGTAGGCTGTTATTTCTGCCAAGTGAATATTTATGTCCAAGTCTGAAAGATGGGGCGTAAAATGGAAATGTTGAAATACACTAAAGCAATCTAGAGCTGTTTGATGACATACTATACAGGGTCAGTCCTGTTGCTTTTTAAATCAATGGTAAAACTTCCTTTAAATTCATAAGCAAACAGGATCAGGCCCTTTATTTAATTCGTTGCTATCCTGGTAGGAGGTTTGTTCTTCCTCTAAAACGTGCCTATAGATGATCTCACAATCTCTGCTGTCCATGTGTGCTGGCAAGGTCCTCAAGAGGTCAAGACTGCTCAGACACGACTGCACTTCAGATTACCTGGGACATGCATGTCACCACACCACTTGCAAGCAGAGGCATACTAGATTTTCATAAGATTACCAGATTTTCCCTGCAAATACTCTAGAAATAAATGGAAAAGTTGCTTTCACAACGAAAACAAGCAAAACATTCTCTCCACCTCTCGTGGCATATCAGATGGATATTGCTGATACAAACTTCCTACTGTTTGCAAGTAAAGGTGAGCTAGACACCTGGATTTTTACCTTAAGTGAACGGGGAGAGACAGGCTATCAGTCATGTCTTAGGCAAGGCTCTGTGTCCTCAGAGCTTTAACGGAGGCAGTGAGTCAGACTCTTCTTCTTGCTGAAGAAGATACTAGTGGAAAAGTTTTTATGGAAAGTAGTTTGACACAACCATAGCTGATTATATCAAGGGGAGGACATAATTCCACTGGGTTTCTCTATTGGAGTAGTTCTCCAGAACTACTGTACTAAATATTTGAGATATCTGTCATCTCCAGAACACGTGGAGAATGTGCAATACAGTAAGTCATCAAGTAAATTTGCGCTTTAATTCTTGATGCTATATACAAATTGTCTCAGATTTGCCTTAGGACAAAAGTGATTAGGATCTCTCAAAGACTAAAGTGTGTTGTAGTTGCACTGCCCTGCAGCCCAGGTGCCAAGGAACCAGCCCAGGAAGAATACACTCACCCTGAGCAGTGGCCATCAAGCTTTGCATGTAGAGACCAACATCGTGTCTCTTGGTAGCACAGACAGTCTGTAGGCCCAGGCAACATTGGAAAACATGGCCAAGAGGAGACATCCTATAGTTATGAGACTCTGCATGATGAAGTGACCAACTACTCTTCCTGGTGGCTGCTCAGCCTCTGGACTCTGTCAGCAGAACTGCTTGTCCTTTCACTCCTTGGTGCATACCGGTGAGAATGAAATGAATTCCCGTAAACAGCTTCAGTAGTCTGATTTTTACTGCCAGTTAGAGCACAAGCAGTCCTGCGGGCAGACAGAAAACCCCTCTGCAGGGTTAGCTGTAGCAGCCACGTGGTCACCAGGAGAGGACACGTAGCCTTGCCAGGAGGCAGCTTATCACCTTCTTCACCTTGTCAGCTCTGAAAGGCCTGGGGTGACCATGGGCTTCACAGAACTTACGAGAGAGAGAAAGCACTCTCTGTTTTAACTTAAACTAGGCTTTTTTTCTTGGTACTGGCTTGAAGATGAGTTTGATACTTTTCCCACCTTCCGGCACTTTGCAGCAAGGATATATATGAGTGCAATGGGAGTTGTGCAGCACTTTGACTTTTCCCAAGGAGAGCTTATATCAGTCAGCCAATACCAGTTCTGCCTGGAAAGATCCTAGACTGTTTTTTTACTATATTTATATTCCAAATATAAATAAGAGATGTTGTTTGTTCAAAGGCTTGCAGGTCTGCATTGTTCTTTGGGGTCTTCACTTCCATGCTTTCTTTGTAAACTCCAAAGTCACATGTGTCCGAGGGTATTGCTCTCCCTCCAGCCCTTGCCCCTGACCTGCTGCCCCATCCACTTTCCAGTTGCAGTCTCACCCAAACATGCACAAAAGATATCTGGGGAAAATCCTATATCACATTTGGAAAGATGGATTTGACTGGTTTAAAAAATATATTTATTGTTAAAGCTCCCATATACTTGGATTCGATTGAACTTGTAAATACCACCTGGCAGTAAGGGGAAAGGTCCTTTGAAGAGAAAAGAGGCAGCCCCAGCTAGCCACAGCAGGGTCAGGCTGGAGACTTTCTCACAGGTCACATCCTTCCACCCACTCTGATAGGTCTCGTCCCTTGCAGTGCATTGCCCAGTCCTCCCTGAGGAAAGGCAAAGTGAAGAAAAACTATCTCAGAACATTACTAATAACATTCATATCCAATACCACGGTCTCTGTTTTTTGTAGGATCCTTCAAAATGAGCAATCTGATGAGCCCCGCAGGAGGACTGCAGACACTGTAATTCTCCAACTGAGTGTCTCACAGTGGGAAGTGCGGCTGTGGATGTGTGGATGCCATCCAAGCTCTGCCTAATCCAGGCTCAGGAACAACAAATTGTAATGCCAGGTCCTGCAACTCCTGCCTCTCTGAGGGGTCCCTCTGTCCCTGAGCAGTGCCAGGGAAGAGAAACAAAGTGGTCACAGGGGATTGCAGGTCCATGTGGCTTGTTGTAGTGCTGTATCAGTGTGCACAGGACCCTGAGACTATTTGCTATATATATATAGCACAAATTACTTACATCACCTACTCTGAAATGCTGCTGCTTCTGTGGTGAGCCATGCAGAACAGCAGCCCACCACAGGAAGCAAAAGCGGCTAATGAGTCCAACTGAAATTGCAGGGGGGAAATCTGAAGGCAGAATCTTGTTCCTCAAATTGGAATATATTCAGGATTCAGCGGTTAACACCACTATTTTTGCACAAAGTGCCTTGGGACTTCAGACAACCACATATTTATACGATCATTGGAATTGTCCTCTACCCCCACTTCTGTTTTCTCAGCCTATTCATTACTCTGGCTTTACTGACATCATCTGTGATGTTATGGCAGCCCAGGGTCCCATGGATGGTTCAGGGCTGCACTAAGCAAAAGACTGATTCATAAGGATTTCCCCTTTAATGCTCTCGCATGTTCTAGAGAGAATTGTTTTCATGCTAGTTGCCTTCTGCTTTAATATCTGACAATAGGAGACAGCAATAAGTGGGGGTGAGGGAGAGAAATCATGCAAGCAAAGCACTTTGGAAGCAGAAAATCTTTGAGGACTAATGTGCTAGGTGATGGGATGCTTATTGACCATTTATTTTTCACTTGATTTTTTTTTTCTGAATAAATGTTTCTCTGCTCCTTTCTCTTCTAGAGAGGTTTTATTGAGAACGACACAGTGCAATTTGCTCTCTCCATTCCCACCCATGTGCCAAGTCTCGAAGTTGTGATTCCTCCTCTTTGCTCAGGCTGTGCTGCTTTTGGGTGACAGCTGGGCAAATGACAGGCATGCCCCATCAGAAAAACATGCGCAAACTTTGCCAAAGATGCTGTCCCAGAAACCCCCCTTAGCCTTACCAGGCATCCATTCCTTGTGGGTGTCTCACAATTTTTTTGGCACAGAGGATGTCATCAGTTATGTCACTTGTTAACAGGTCTGCAGGGAGAAAAGCATAGCCCAATGGCCATTCAGTGGAGTGCAGAACATCAGGGACAATCACAGACAAGGGGGAGAAGGGCATTTGTCAGATAAGCACACAACTTCAATCCAAGCCCACTGGCCCTTTCAACCTATCAGACATGGGGGGATAAATTAAGGAGCATTTCTACCTTTCTGTCAAAAGAGTTCTTGGTTTGAACAGGAACGGGAGGTGCACCCCCAACCTCCCATGGTTAAGTCTCTAGAGCCAGATGTCTAATTGCTCTTGCCAGACCTGTGCTTCCTTGCTGTGTCTGAACTAGTCAGCTCTGCCCCATTTCTCAGGCAGACACTTTTCCATGTCTTGTTTAGCAGCTCCCCATTAGTGGTAGATCTCCAGCCAGGGCCTGGATTGGCCTGGCAGTAACACAGTCTCGGGAGATTGCTTTCCCCAAACACTCTACCCATAGCTGGGGGAAAGTTGCATTTATCACCTCTATATCCCACATCACAACCCACCAAAGTGAGGACTGCCTACTCTCCACCCATGGCTAAAGCACCCGGAGAGCCCTGGGATGCCAAATATCCCAGCAAAGCCTGTGAGGACCAGGCTCTCCCCTTGCTGGGATGAATGCAGCTCACAAGATGAGGGATTGAGCCAGGGCTGTGGTATGGGAACTAGGGAAGGCATGGGGGACTGGAGCCAGGAGCGATACAGGGTAAAAACCTTGGGGGGTCTCTTGTGGGCAATGCTGTTACTGTGCCCAGGGGAAATGCCTCCTGGCGGTGGCCACGGCCTTGTGCCCAGCAGGAGCTGGTGGGGCCCACCCTCTCCCTGGCACAGCCTAAAAGGAGAGCTGGACCTGGCCGTTTTGTCCACCCCAGGCATGGGTTTGCCCTGCGCGTGCCCAGCGGCGCTGCAGTGCAGCGGTACCTGCACAAGCCACTCTGCAGAGGTTCTCCGATGGGCTGCGCTCGTCCGTGCACCACAGCCGGTTGTTGATCTGAAAGATGCCGAAGCTGGCGCTGCTGTCCGCGTTGATGCTCTTGGCTGCTGTGTCAAAGTTGCTCTCATAAAAGGCCATGCAGAGCCCTAGGGCAGGGGGAGAAGACGCTCAGGCTGTGTCATGACCATCGGTCATGGACACACAGGTGGCTGGAGAGGAGAGTCAGTGGCAGGGCCCGCATGGGCGGCTGGTGACCACAACTCACAGTCAGCGAGGCTGTAGCCTCGGTAGCCATCCCCTTCCTCGCGCCCGAGCAGCTTGCGCCACTCGT